AGTTTCAGCAGCAGAAACGGAAAGGGATATTGGAGTTTGAGAAAGAGCTTCAGAAAGTGGAGTTTGAGAAAGAGCAACGGAAATTGGAGTTTGAGAAAGAGCAAGGGAAATTGGAGTTTGAGAAAGAGCAACGGAAATTGGAGTTCGAGAAAGAGCAAGGGAAATTGAAATTGGAGTTTGAGAAAGAGCAAGGGAAATTGAAATTGGAGTTTGAGAAAGAGCTTCAGAAAGAGCTTCAGAAAGGGTTGGAGTTGGAGAAAGCGAAATTCGAGTTGAAGAAAGCGGGGCTGGAGTTGGAGGATAAAAAAGAAGAAGAGGAGAGGAGGAGGATAGAAACAGTCATAAAAAATGCTCATACCATTGCCGACATGGAGAAGTTCTCTGACAGTGAAGCTGCTGACTTCAACAAGCTTGTACTGGATAAGTGGAATCCTTTGCATCAAATCCTGCGTGGCAATACTGATTTGCATGCAACACGGTGGAGATTGTTTCTGCCCAAGCCGCTCGGTATGTTTATTTGTTTATTGTTTGTTTTGTTTAAAACTTTGTCTCCTTCCATCAGAGTTCCATGGAGCTTGGCGTTCCTTTAGGTACTGTTTTCTAATTTTTCTTCTTTGCTACAAATCCTTGTCCTTGAATGCAGGGAAGAGCATGTATGCCTGTGATGAGGCTGAGTTAAGTGTCAGAGTCAAACACTACGCTGCCTCTGGCCTTTGTTTTGCAGCGCTGTTGGAAAGTATTTTTCGGGTCCTTGACAAAGACAAAGCTCTGCCTAATATTTTGGTGAAGGTTCTGGCCCCAGTTGAGACACCAAACGGGAAGCGAATTCCGGACGCAGAGGTTACTGTTGAAAGGTCGGGTTCGAGGTGCGGGTTCCTATTAGAAATGAAGAGTCTGAAGCGGAAGGGTGATAACATTGAGGAGGAGACCAGCGCGAAGAGAAGCAGGGTGTCGTCGTCTGATCAGAAAAGCGACGAAAGCGAGGAGAACAACAGCATGAGCAAGAAAAAGCAGAGTATTGTTCTCAGCGACGATAATCAGGAGCTTCTGAGCCCGCTTCTACAAACGGCTCGAGGCCAAATTGGTGAAATTCACGTGGCAAGGCAGTCTAAAGACAGGGTTCAGAGCGGGTTTGTATCCAACGGCGTGCATGTTATAATCGTCCGGACTGACTCCACCAAATCCGAAGGTCATTTCAAAGCCAGCCGGGTACTGAAAATGGTGGAGGGTAGCGACATAAAGATAGGAGAGGCCAGGAGTTTAGATATGGATTCAAGGGGGGTCGATCAAGTCCTCAAAGAGCTAGTTATTGCTCTGATCAAAACCGGGTTCCTGCCACAGAGTTTGCTTCAAGGTGATGTTAGTGGTGCTGCTGGGTTGGGAGCAGAGACAATGGAAGTAAGTGTTGATGAAGAACAGCTAGTTCGACCGGTTAAGGCTGAGGCAGCTGAGAAAGAGCACCGGTATCTATTCCCCGTGACAATCCATGGATCGAGATTGAAAGCCTGGATTATAGCGGCAACAGTAGGTGATCGGTACAAGCAGGTTCAGCGAG